AAACCAGAACTGGAACAGAATTGAACTGGACTAAACCAGGTTTAAACCAGGTCTAAACCAGGTCTAAACCAGAACTGAACCAGGACTAAACAGGTCTAAACCATGACTAAACCGGTCTGGTCCCAGTCTTAGTCCTGGTCTGGTCCCGACATCACCCAACAGTCTACGCAGGCGCACCTCCGGGCTCGTCCCGACATTCAGTCCTGGTTCAGTCCTGTTTTAGTCCTGTAACTGAATTTTTATTTTCCTCCCACCCAAGACATATTGTTCCTGGAATACTACTACTACTAGTAATATTACTTCTGCTACCTCTACTGCTACTACATCTATAATTTTTTGTGTCTTATATATCCTTTAAAATTCTATATATGTACTTATACTGTTAAATTGACTCTAAGAATGGCTGTTTATTTATTCAAGTTGCTGGGATACTACTACTACTACTACTACTACTACTACTACTACTACTACTACTACTACTACTACTACTACTACTTATTCTGTTTTTTGACACTGCTACTACTAGTGGCAACTGGACAAAAGTTTATTTGGTTGAATACGTTTCGCAGCTCATCCAAGCTGCTTCTTCAGTTCTGGTCAAAATCCTAGTGGACACTTCTTTATATCTGCCTGAAGAAAGGAGCTAACTACACTGAAACTACACTGAAACTAACACACCTATGTGTTTACAGTTTCTGTTAGTTAGTTATTTTGTTAGGCCTGTTGAACTTGCACTGAGTGTGGAGTCTTCGACATATGGATGCATGGATTCTACCTGAACGACTGAGGGATTTTACACACATACTACTACTACTACTACCTCTGCTACCCTGCTACCACTACTACTACTACTACTGCTACTACTACTACTACTACTACTACATTCAACCGTTTTTGTGTTCCTATAAAATTCGATATATGTACTTGTACTGTTAAATATTGCCTTTTAAGAATGTCTGTTTATTTATTTAAGTTGCTGGGATACTACTACTACTACTACTACTACTACTACTACTACTACTACTACTACTACTGCTGCTACTACTACTACTACTACTACTACTACTACTACTACTACTACTACTACTACTACTGCTACTGCTACTACTACTGCTACTACTACTGCTACTACTACTACTACTGCTACTACTACTGCTACTACTGCTACTACTACTACTACTACTACTACTGCTACTACTACTACTACTACTACTACTACTACTACTACTACTACTACTACTACTGCTACTACTACTACTACTACTACTACTACTACTACTACTACTACTACTACTACTACTGCTACTACTACTACTACTACTACTGCTACTACTACTACTACTACTACTACTACTGCTACTACTACTACTACTACTACTACTACTACTACTACTACTACTACTACTACTACTACTACTACTACTACTACTACTACTACTACTACTACTACTAGCTACTACTACTACTACTACTACTACTACTGCTACTACTACTACTACTACTACTACTACTACTGCTGCTGCTGCTACTACTACTACTACTACTACTACTACTACTGCTACTACTGCTACTACTGCTACTACTACTACTACTACTACTACTACTGCTACTGCTGCTGCTGCTGCTACTACTACTACTACTACTACTACTACTACTACTACTACTAGCTACTACTACTACTACTACTACTACTACTACTACTACTACTGCTGCTGCTACTACTGCTACTACTACTGCTACTACCACTACTACTACTACTACTACTACTACTACTGCTGCTGCTACTACTGCTACTACTACTACTACTACTACTACTACTACTACTACTACTACTACTGCTGCTGCTGCTACTACTACTACTACTACTACTACTACTGCTACTACTGCTACTACTGCTACTACTACTACTACTACTACTACTACTGCTACTGCTGCTGCTGCTGCTACTACTACTACTACTACTACTACTACTACTACTACTACTACTGCTACTACTACTACTACTACTACTACTACTACTACTACTACTGCTGCTGCTACTACTGCTACTACTACTACTGCTACTACCACTACTACTACCACTACTACTACTACTACTACTACTGCTGCTGCTACTACTGCTACTACCACTACTACTACCACTACTACTACTACTACTACTACTACTGCTGCTGCTACTACTGCTGCCACTACTACTAATGCCTCTGTTTTTGACACTACTACTACTCGTGCTATTACTTCTACTACCTCTTCTACTACCACATTGAACTACTACATTTTTGTGCTTTTAAATTCTTTTATAAATGCTTACACTAGTAAATATTCCGTGTAAGTAAATGCCCATTGTCCAGCCTGTCCCCGCCGGAAACACATAGTCACTGGGATAAACGCTGCCCACCTGTGAACCTCATTTCAGCTTTATAAACCTGCACGGCCTTTAAAATATAACCAACCAAACATAATGGCTTTTTCGGCTCCTGTTTGAGAAACCTTAGCCTATAATATCTCTGGGAATCTATTTCAGACCGGCGGCTAGCGGTAAATACCTCCTCAAGTACAAAAGCCCCTAGTCAGTCTCCCAGCTCACTGTAAATGACTGGATTAGACCACCTGGACTTGGTATTAGCTCCAATGAAATGTACCCTACCCCCTATCCCCTCCCCCCTCTTTCCTCCTCCACCTGCAGTTGGCACGGACTCTCAATGCCAGTCATTAAGACGCGAGCACAAAACCCGAGCATCCCAGCAGACCAGCTCTACTTCTGCATATAAAGCTCACATTGTTTTAACACGACCCCGCCCCCGTCGCCCTCCAGAGACCGGAGACCACTGCGGATCCTTTTACGGACCACTCCTGGCGGACGTAAAGCCACGACGATGAATCTGCACTGTAAAAATACGTGTAAAGAAATGCAGTAACACAGGCTGGTGTGGTTTTAAGCGAATATTGATTGATTACGAACAAGCCGCACGATATTAAAATACGACTCGAATGCAATTTATGTTTCGCTGGGGTTTAATAAGTGGCGACGTACTTTCATTATTTTCGCTGGTACTATTTTTGCTTCTACTTATACAGTAATACCACAACTGTGCGGTCGGGTTATTCAATTGAAACTCCTGCCTGTAAAGAGAAAATTGATAAACGTGCATTGCAAAAAATATGTGTAATTTAATAAAAATAATGCCGTAAATATTTTGTCTCGCATGCGAATTAAAGTGTTGCAGCTGTAACAACCAAACTCATGCTAATACATTTTTTTACCTGTATCAATATTTTGTATGTGTAGATGTGCATATCTGTATTATTATTTTGTGTGTGTGCAAAAATGTTTGTATCTGCACAATTGATTTGAGCGTGTGTAAAACAGTTTTGTAGCTGTAGGAGAGTGATTAGAGTTCAGGTACAACACTGCTCCTACAGGCTTTCAAAAGTCATAACACAAACACAAAACTATTCTGCGAGTACAGATTATTTTTGGCACAGTTTTCATGTAAATTTTTTCCCGTCAAACAGTCAATCAGCACTGCTAGGTAAATTGCGGTGGAAAGATCTGTCACACGTACACCCGCTCATTGCAGTAAGCTATAATAATCAACAACCAGTAGGAGTTCACTCAGTTTAGAATCCGCTATTTCCTCATCTTCAGTCTTCACTCCTGCGTGATGTGTTGATTCCCTCCTCATCTATCGCCGCAGTTTACGTAGCAGTGCTGATTGGCTGTAGCCGGGCTGGTGCCTCCGCTCGATTTCATTTCTCCTCATCGACTAGGTCAGGAATCGGAATACACTAGACAGTTCCCAAAAACCCCAGAAGTTGTAGCCGCACACCGGCCAATCGGCGAAAAGCTGTGAAGCCGGCAATTAGTTGGACACCACTGAGCGTTCCGGCGCATTACATACGTCTCAACCAAATAGCAGCGATTAGTTAAATTAAAAAAGTACCTGAAGTATCTTAATGCTGTGAGGTCAGACAGTTTCCACGAAGTGAAACCGGCTGATGAATCAGGCTAGATTGGCTGTTTCTTGACGGGGGGAAAAAATTACATGAAAACTGTGCCAAAAATAATCTGTACTCAGAACAGTTTTGTGTTTGTGACTTTTGAAAGCCTGTAGGTGCAGTTTTGTACCCGAACTCTGGTCACTCTCCCACACACAAAACAGTTCTACAGCTACAAAACTGTTTTACGCACATGCAAACCAGTTGTGCAGATACAAAATACACAAAATAATAATACAGATATGCAAAACTACTCCACACATACAAAATACTGATACAGGTACAAAATGTATTAACACAAGCACAAATATTTTTTGCACAAGCACAGTTTGGTTTGTACAGCTGCAAAACTTTATTTCACATGTGAAACTGTTTTTACAAGTGCAAAATATTTGTGGAATAATTTTTATTCCATAAAATTAGGGCATATTTCGTTGGCAGGTGCTTGTCTGTGGAATGGTACACCACCTGCTTGTGATATTATTGCTTTGTCTGAAATGTTCCACAATATGGCATTAACTTATCTACAGTACATTGTATTTGTTCAATGATAGTTTTTTTTTTTTTTTTTTTCTAAGAACGTGTATTTGTAACGTGAGTGGGTTTTCATCTGCACAGATCTGACATGTAAGGTGACCTGCTTCATACTCTCCATAGAGATAAGTTTAAAGCCATACTCTGGATAATTTCAGGCAAAGCTTTATCTCCATGGAGACAGACAGGTGCCATTCTCACTATTCTCTTTAAAACATACTAAATATATTAAAACTTGAATTATTTAAAGTTATTGTAATGTTCTGTAGTAATTTAGACTTTTTGCAGTGTACTTAGTTATGCGCGGGAATGGCAGGATATTTCCCGTGTCCCGTGCCAGCAGGTGCTCGAGGTAAACCCTGCTCAGCTTACTGCGTGTGTGTACTCCAGTCTGTACTATAGTTGTGTAGTAGAGCGTGTACCTGTGTCTAACATGTGCTTGTGTGTGTGTGTTTGTGTGTTCACAGGTGCACGAGGAAGGAGAAATGTGAGCGTTCTTCAGAGCCTCGTCGTTTTGCCTCCGACATTAAACAGTGTGTGAGGCTCAGCGTTCACCCCAGTAACATCTCCGTGTCCCAGTTCAGTGTCACGGTGAGTTATGTACAATCTTTACTTTTTATACACTCTTACAGACCGCTCCTTGACAAAGCTATATTTATCGATATACTTTGGCAAATACCAAAATAAGTAAATCAATTGCTGGACTACTTTCAAGTGTTTACATTTTATATACTCTTACAGACCTCTCCTTTATACTCTAAAAATAAATGACAGGCCAGTCTAGTCATTTCACTAAAACAAAGTTATAATAATTATACTTAAGATTTTACTAAAATCTTAGTAAAGGGGAGCAGATGGACATAAGTCGAGTTAAATCTCTCACTGTTATCTAGCAACCGTAAAGTAAACAAGGGCCAGAACTTGTCTAAATAGTTATGATTGGACTAATCTTGGACTGTCTTTTTAAAATACCTTCCTTTTGTGTTATTTTTTCTGAATAATTATAGCACTAGAGTTCTAATTTCCTGGTATAGGCACCATTTTGAGGACTTTTCACTATGTGGCCATACTGACTTGTCAAAGCCTGATCCCGTCAGATCTCAAAAGCTAAACAAGACCGGGCCTGGTTAGTACTTGGATGGGAGACCACTGGGAAAATCAGTTTGCCACAGGGGGGCGCCAGTCACAAAAAATGTTGTTTCGTCTTTAGGCAAGGCACCGCAGCTGCACTTCTGTCAGTCTGCCCCAGGGCAGCTGTGGCTACAGTACTTACCATCACCAGGTTTGGAGTTACTGAATTATCGCATATGTCTGTGAAAAGCTCTATATCAGGCATGTCCAAACTATGGCCCGGGGGCCAAATGTGGCCCTCAGACAAATTTTTCTTGGCCCTCAGACTTCCAGGTGAATTGGCCCAAATTACCTTACATCAATTAAAAAATAATTATTTACTGTAAGTTTTTTGAAAATCTACCTTGATAAAGCAAATATGTAATATTTAGTGTGTGGTTTTAAGGATCTTAGCGTGAATAAAGACTGACGGCTCATTCTAACATGTTAAACATGCACATATTCAATTATTCCCTGTACTGAGCTCCAGTCTACGGCCCTCGATCAGCACTCTGCTTCATCTGTGTTTAGATATGTGGCCCTTGATGAAAAAAGTTTGGACCCCCCTGCTCTATATAAACAAAGACTTACTTACTTACTTATTCACTTTTGGAAAACATCTGGAAACACGCAGATAACGATTTCCAGTGTACTTAACGACAATGGACATGTGATAAAACTTTCCAAAGCTTTCCATGAGGGACGTGACCCTAATCGTGTCTTCATGTCAGTTACAGGCAGCTGGTTGTAGCTGTTGATCTGATGAACATAACTGAACGCTACAATCAATCAAACAAACTATAATACACAAATTAATAAGCAATTTATGAAAAAAAGAAAAATACAGTGACATCTAGATCATTGTTTCCTAAAGACTGAGTTGCGACCTTCATGTGGGTCACAGGAGATTTTTTTTGGGTCGTCTTGTCACGATCTGCATGTAGCTCTGCAGTATACAGTTGTTTACATGGATCTGTGACTGTTATCATCATTCTGGATCAGCATTTCATCAGAATATCCTGTCCTCAATAGGGTCAGTATTTCTATGCTTATTCCTTTCACTACTACATATATGTGTGAACTGGGATTTTCTGTTCTTACAAAAATAAAAATAAAGAACAGAAACAGACTGAATGCTGCACCTGATATAAGTGATATAAGCGCTCTCCTCCTGCACCTCGGACTGAACGCACTACAAAAACACAGACAGACCCACCTATCTCATTAGAATGCTGAAATATTAAGACATGTTTTGTATCATTTCTCATCTTTTTGTAATAATTTTATTGACTATTTTGTTCCAGTATTGCTGGTTCAGTTGAATGTTGGAAAGAAAAAGAAATGGGCTACATTTAAAGTCCAAATAGGCGACTTATGGATCCTTTTATTGCTGCTTCAATTACTGTTTTTCATTGTTTAAAACTAATTGTTCAGAGAGACACGATAAAAATGGTCAAATCCACCTTTATTTTGTGATTTACGAATGAGTCGCGAAGGTTTGTGACATTTAAAATATGGGTCCCCAGAAAAAAAGTTTGCGAAACACTGACCTAGATGAAGAAAACTGCGCCATTTTCTCAGTTTTCCCAGATTTTGTCAGAGTTACTCACGCCAAAAGAGCCCAAAGGAAGTCGTCATTCTCGTGTTTCCGCAAAAGTCTTCCGGTTTTGTCACATAATCGTGAATAGAGCCCGTTCAAGATACAATATTCTGTTTTAATTTTCCCGTTTACCAGCGGTTTTGGACGATAATTCCTCTTTTGGCACTGATACAACTGCGCACTCAGGACATATTATATTTTTGTATGTAAATGACTAATTGTGTGGTTACATAATTGTGCTGCCAGCCAAACGCTCTGTTCAAACCCTGACCTCCTCTTTGAACAGTGTCGGCGATGCTCTACAGTTTACATTTGAACCGGCCCCAGCTGTTTATACACGCGCCCTCCAAATGTTCTAATGTTGCGGATTATTCAGCGCCAACACTTGAATCAATAAGTGGCCTTTTGACATGCCAGGATTCATTTCATGCTTTGTAAAGAGAAGGAAATTATAATGTTCCTTATTCAGAAATCATTTGAATAGAACATTATTGCAGAAGAACAGATGTGGAGTTAATGAAAGGAAACATATAAGGCTCTGGTCATGCTGGGTTAAGGAAATATGATATAAGAGAACACATGATTTTCTCACATTGGGGAATTTTGAGTGTTGTAGAAGAAAACTACACAAATGGCTGAAGTAGAAGAAGTAACAAAATGCCCTAAATCAATAGTAATTAAATAAAGAAACATAGTTATAACATACAAATATATAGTATATAGTATAAGTATAAGTATATGGGTCCGGTCAAGTGGTAACGGAGGGAAACGGGGACAGATTTTTTACATTCAAATGTCTCTTATTCAGAAACTAGAGGGACTATTGAAATAAGTAAAGTATCAGAATGTAGGAAAGAGTTACACTCCAACAGGGTAAAGTTAAACCTGTGATATTCTTTCAAGTTGTTGACAAAAAATTTAAAAAACTCATGTCGGTAACGGAGGGAATGAAATATGCAGCACTTTTTGGGCAATAAATACAAACAGTGATAACTAGCGGTTCTCACTTACATATCCTTAACAAACTGGTTTGAATATTTACTTCATATAGTTTTCTACCATATGGTACAAGACTTTTTGAGTAATGAGATTTTTTATTAAGAAAGGTCATGGTAACGGAGGGAAAAGTAACGGAGGGAAAATTGTGCAAACAAGTAGAAGGTGCAGGATTTTACATAATTTGTTGCTTTTTTCTTCCGAATACTTTAATAATTACTTCAAAATGAAAGGAAACTATTTCTATAAAATATGTCAGTCCTTCCAAGCAAATTTTTATCATTTTAAATAATTTTTTTTTGAAAAATCATGTACCTTCATCAACAGTTCAAAGATGGAATAACACAAGATATGATGAAATACATCAGTTTATTTACATGATTTGCAGGTCTTTGAAATTTGGGAAATAATTTTTGTTCCATGTTTCATACATGGTCTGTTTAAAACGTATGTAACTTTAGAACCAAAAATGGTACAGAAAAAAGGTAAACAGTTTCATAAACTAGAGTACATATGTATCTGTTCAATACATTTTTATATCAGATGCATTAACTTGAATTTTTGGCCTTGCTGTTTACTTCTGCTTGACTGGGCCCTTATGATAAAATAGATTAGAGGAATAATATAAGGCTTCAAAACTAGTAAGTAACTATTGATATGTACATTAAACTACATTACATTTCCATTTCTTATACAATTTGTGGAGTATAACAACATGTATTGCCTGTTTTTAATCTTAAAGCAGTCACTTTTGCCCAGTATACCTACTTTTAGACGTTGATGCTTTTGGAGAATGCATCACTGCTAATAAACTTAAACGCCAGATCATTTTGACTGCACCTGGATAGATGTTGTCGGGGAAGATGTTTCCTGAAGATTCTGTATAAAATATAAGATACATCATTAACTAAAACTAAAATGGGGGTGAGTTGGTGCTCATTGTGTTCAAGATACTTCACCCGTCTGTGAATATGTGTGTGAATGTGTGAGTGGATCCTTGATGTAAAAGAGCTTTATGCTTTCAAGGTGGAAAAGCGATGTATAAAAATAATATTCTTCTTCCGATACCAATGCTGGAATGAGGATGAGCGTCTTTTTACAGACATCGCTGCAGGTTGTACCCATGCACTGCGGTAGAAAGTAACGAATTAGAAAAGTGTAAGTGCTTAAATCAGCACTAAAGGTCAAGCTTATTATATATTTGCCTCAATTGGTTCTCAAAATTCTTTAGAGATAGCCTTTTAGTAGTTTTATTTATTGCTCTTGTGCTGTAACAACATTGAGTAGCCTTAGTCTACTTCTTCGCATTCGGAGTGGTATCGGTAGAGCTGTTCGATTATGGAAAAAATCATTATCAGGATTATTCAAACAATTATTTTTTAGATACACAATGCATTTATTCAGCATTTCTCTCTCTCTCTCAAAAAAACCCACACTGTTATTGATAATTTAGGCAAAACTTTCAAATTGAAAATAAATATAGGCTACAAATATGAACCTTAGAGCAGTTTTGCGATGTATAAAACATAAAATGAATAAAAATATAGTTGAAATAAGGCATAGAAAAATATAAAAGTATCCAAAATAAACTATATATCCAGCTGTTCTAAACTTTGTTAAGCTTTACTCATTTCAACTCGAGTTTGGAGATTGTTTGACACACAAATCGAAATCACGATCAAAATTCGATTAATTGTACAGCTTTAGGTATCGGTATCGGCGAGAAGACTAAGGCCAAGTATTGATATTGGATCAAATCTCAAACAAATGGTAGCAGAACAACACTAAAAAATAATCACGTCATGGATTTAGGTTACAACTGTTGAGCTCCAAAGAATATACAAATTAATTTCACGCTAAAGAATCAAATTTTTTCATAATTTAA